AAGGATGCCGGGTTGTTTCCCACGGGCAGAATAGGAGTAGCTAACCCAGGGGCAATGCTTCGAGGTGAACATCAAGGAAGTGATTTGTTCTAACCCAGGAGGGAGAGAAAGGTCAGACCTACCGCAGGAATGATTGTTGGGCATGCCGGGGGTTGGAGGACGGGGGGGGGGGGGGGGAAGAAGGATGTCCTGTTTTTGCAGAGGGAAGAGGACTAGATGAACAAATCCCTAAATGAAGAATGGGGACAGGGAACCCAGCCGTCTTTCCCCCCCTGCCAGTACGCTCATGAGGACACTGAGCTTTCCTGTGCAGGACACTTTACTGTATTTTGCCATGATTTATCTTGGTTAAGCCTGATGAAACTCCATGGGTGGGTGAGGGAGTATTTATAGCCTCCGTTGTTCTATTGCTAAGTAAACTGAGGCTTAGAGAGCTTAAGAAGCAGACACAAAATAACCTGGCAAGCCAAGGGGTGAGTCTAGGATGAAAACCTCAGCCTCCATTCCTGGAGCCTCCATTACTACCACCAAGCTGTCTTGCTTTCCGTTTTCCTCCCCAAATATCTCTTGCCCCACTCTAGGGATTGCTTTTCTGTATACGTCAGGGACATAGACTCAAGAACAGAACAAGCCTGTCCCCTTTCCAGGGCATGGTGGGACAAGATAAGTAATTCTAAAAAGGCTACGTTCAGGACAAACTGGACTTGCTCTCTCCCTTTCAGAATTCCCTCCATCCAAATGAGGTGGTCCGCACGGCCCCATCACTCACAGGGCTCCAATCCAGCCAGCAAATGGACATATGCGATATGTGATCTTACAGGTCCTTAGCGTAAGTGCCATCCAGGCACGGTGACAAATGTCTGTAACCCCAGCACTCAGGGAGGCTGAGGCACGTGGATCTCTGTGAGTTCGGAGGCCAGTTTGGTCTACGAAGCAAGTCTAGAACAGCCAAGGTTATGCAGAGAAACCCTGTCTCGAAAAATCGTAAAGAGAAGCAGGGTGGTGGGCATCACCCATTTTCCCCTGTGGAACTTCCCATAATCCTGAAACCGCCTTCGAAGAGTTCTGTACATAATCACACAAATTCCATAGCTGGACCTTCCCTCCCATGCCAAAAAGCCCTACTACCAAGGACAGTGAGCGGAACGGGGACACGAACGCCAGGCTACAAACCTACAGCAACTCTCCCTGTCCCCATCTCTCAATGCCACTCACTCAACATCCTCCTTTTCTCACATGTGACCACACGGAAGGGTTTTCACTTTTCTGCGTACCCGACTTTCATCATAGCCCGGTCCCTGGGCTCAGAACTGAAAAGAAAACCTTCACAACTCTCAGCTGAATCTGGGCCTTAAAGTAGCAGGACATCCCAAAGCTATTAAAAAATATATATATACCAGAAGAAATGGTTTCAAATCCATCTTTACAAGCACAGGGTTTAAAAATAACTCTGCCTTTGTCTGCTATAGATGACTTTCCCTAAAGGGACAGCTGTCCTTAAAGCAGTCACTCAATTCTCAGGGCAAACAGATTCTTATTTTTCCTAGTACCCAGCATATAACCTCCAGGAACAAGTACCCCCCCACACACACACACACACACTACCTCTGATAAGATCTGACATGCAAAGGCCAAAGCCTACAGAATGGCTCCTACCAAAAGAGCCAAGATGCTGCTCCCAGACACCCTGAAGGCCCTCCTTCATCCAGACCCCCCCCCCCCACTCCAAGGGCCGGACAACCTATGGCATCATCGTCACCACCACAGCTTTCAATATGTCTCTGGAATAGGTCTTCAGGAAACAAGTTTATTTCTTCAGATATTGAGTCATTCTTTGATCAGATACCTACATGGGGGAATCAGACCAGGATGCATAACATAGGAAAAGGGTCCGGGGAACAGTCATGATAAGTAGTTTTGAAAATGCACAACAGTGCTCACCTTGCCATTCCAAGATACCCTCGAGGTAGCCCTCAGTGTACATAATTTGTCAGTCTGGCTCCGCTACCTTTCACCCAGAACCAGTACTGAGACAATGCACACGTCAAAATTGCACACTGAGCAACAGCTGAAGGCAAATGTTTAAACTGCGCTGCCTTATCTCCTAGTTACCCTGGTAACTTCATTCTATCCCCTAAAAGTGCAAATTATTAATACACAGTTTTATTTTGTTTTTTCTTGGCAAGCCAATGTCTCTTCACTTTCTCAAAAGTTTTGCCATAGAGTATTACAGGGGATAAAAAAAAGCACTCATTTGTATGATAGCAGCCTAAGTTAAGTCTAGATTTTGCTGCCTAAGTTGAAGGTCCAAGCCATTAATTTTCAAGCAGGAATGATTTTATTCCCAGGAGACATTGGAAGGTGAATGAAGACTTTTTTTTTTTTTTTTGCCACAACTAGAGCATATGTGCCACTGGCCTCTAAATGGGACAGCAGGGATGTCCTTTAACATCTTATAATCCACAAGGCCATATACCACAAGACTTACCCTCAAGAGAGAGTGCCAAGGTTGAGAAATCTCAGTTGAGACTGAAATCACACAGTTCCCAGAATGCCCATTGCTACATATGGGCTCTTCCATTCAGAAGACTTATTTTCCTCAAGATTCACTGGGTAGTTACTTCTATTCTGGTCAGCCCTGTGAGCTATGCAGAACAGTCAAGAACTTTCCCCTTTTCCTAGTTTGCTTGAGATAACACATCCTTCAAGCCTGTGTCCCCTAGATTCCAGTTCTCAGTATAATCTTTATCATGAGCAAAATGATATGAATGGCAGAATGTGATTTTTTTTTTTTTTAATCTACTGGCATTTGAAAAAGAGCTTTGGATTTTTTTTTCCTGTTAGGAATATCACTGGATTTTTAATTCAAACAATAAAATCATTTTGAAATGTAATTCTACCACATTTGAAAGGATGTTTAAGTGGAGGGATTATTTTCAGACCTTTTGGTATATTTTTTTCTGTAACTCAATAAAATGATACCCACAGACACTTGGGAGTTCCTTGCTATGGACAGCAATCTGGCTGGGGGAGTCCCCATCACCTGAATCATGGACCACAGAGGGCTCTACGGAGCTCTGACAAATGACTTGAGCCTCAAACTCTAAGATGCCAATTTTTCACTTTCAGGAGTGCTCACTGAGCACTCTTCCCATACTGCTCTCCAAAGGAAAGCTGTGTAACTGTATCTAGTGAATTTAGGACGGTATTTCAGGTGACAAGGATTGTCATAACACAAAGAGTTAACTACAACCACAAACCACTTGAATTAACAGAATACCTGAAGCTAGCCATCTGACACTGAATTACCGTTTCCAAAACAGGCCCGTCAAATTGAAATTATATCTTCCTATTAAAGGGGAAAGCAAGGCTCCAAGAGGTTACGCCATTGCTGAGGTCATTCAGTTATGCAGCAGAATGTGAGAAGTGCCAGCGTCCACTGTCTGAGCCTCCATGCTCTCCCTGTGAGCTGCCTCTCCCGGTGAAGAAACTGAAGGCATCAGCGCTATGCATTCCTCATAGCAAGCTGTCTAATCCACATCAGGAGGGTGATGCACCCTTGGGGGTAGCTGGAGATTAAAACTTAATTCCAATAGAACCAGTGGCCTAGAGTTATCAACCGAAGTAGATGTTGGAGACGGGGTAAAATAGATTTGAAAGTCCAGAGATGTAGGAAGGACTGACCTCCAACTCCTCCAGGACTAACCTATAAAGGGCAGGGCACCCTTTTCTCCTTCCCCTCATTTCCTCCCATTTAAACCCAGCTCTGCATGTGACAGAAATTTCTGCATGAGTCGAGGGCACAGAGTTCAGCAGAAACCGCTAACACAAGTCTCTCGTTGTCCTGTTTTCCATCTTTCCCTGCAGCTAAGGGCTTTCCGTTCCATGACCTTCCTGCCAATTTATCAGTCTGAATCTTTGTTCCTAGTACCTGTGCATAAAATGAGCTTTCTTCCTGCTTGTTCTGTGCTACCGCGTGTTGAAGGACTGGGTCTGGGGTGGCCTCAGTCTGTGCTTAGCCCTACCCCTCTGGCAATGGGTTTTAAAGCATAGTTCTTTCCAGGTAACGTTTTTGTGTTATTTTAAAAAAGAAAAAAAAAACCCGCTTGTTATTACTTATTTGTGTATATGTGTGAGCTTGTCTGAACGTGGGAAGGTGTGTATGAACACGTGAGTGCACATTTGTTTGATTTGCCTAGGCTGGGTGCCCACTAACCTCGGAGATGCTCTTGTTTCCAGCTCCCCAGCACCGGGGGTCAGATCCTGGTCCTCACACAAGCACACACTGACTGAAGAGCATCTCCCCAGCCCTGTCACAAGCTTTGGTGACGGTGGAGTAAATGTGATAAACGGATGACAGTGAAAACAATATGAGGCAGATTGGCTCATGGGACACGGAGTGCTAGGAAGAAAGAGGCTTAGCCTCAGTGAATAGGAAAGCCTGCTTTTATTTAGATTCTAGTCAATGACCAAAGGAGATGGATGAAAAACAAATAAACAACCTACTCACGCCTCTACTCAGTCGCCCATTTAGGCCAGAGAGGAATGGATATGGATTAACCCAGCCTTCTGGGGTCTACCCAAATTATCCAGCAAGATGCTTTTATCTTTGTGTTTGGGGACCAGGTGAAGGGGGCAGGAGTTACACGCATGCCTCCATTAACCTATTAGCCCAGTCATTAACTCCAGGCTGGATTATCTTAGAACTGTAGCCTTTGAACCAACTGCTCAGAATCCTCCTGGGAGTTGGTTAAAATGAACATTCTGGGCTCACACCCTGGACCTGAAAACACGAGCTTCCTAAGGGCAGGTCCATAGAGTCTTATTCTGACTGAGAGCCAGTCATGCTCCCTGAATGTGGGTGGGTGGGGGAAGGCCAGTAGGGACAGGAAGAGGGGGCTCCTCTCTAGAAAGGGATGCTAAGCTCTCCTACTCCTGCCAACCTCTCCCTCCCCCACCCCTACCCCCCACACCTAAAGGGTGAACCTTCTAGAATTTACCTGGTCTGATGGGGCTTTGCATACAGTTTGGAGACGGGATGCCAGGGTGGAGGGGTGCAGAGGCCCGGCTGCTGAGGTCCACAACCGAGGGAGCTGTGGAGGAAGCAGGTTGCAACCCAGGAGGGTGAGGGCTGTGGTCATGCTGCGACGGGCTCGGGGGGATGCCATTCTCTGACAGAAATTCCTCCAGGTCCATGTATTCCAACTGGAAAGTATCTCCGTCATAAGGAAGGGTTTTGTCCCATAAGGTGGGTCCCAAGAAGGCCGACTGGGGGACTGTCGGGCTGTTGCTCTCATCATCCAGCTTCTTTCCTTTGTCTTTGTCTTTGCTAAATGCTGAAGGAAGAGAAGGGGAAAGGTGAGCTTTGCTTTCAAAAACAGAAAAGAAAAGGGGTCATTCTCTCACCAGCCTTCCTGCCATCTGTTACAAAACTACTTCTCATGGGCACTGAGGCCTCTGGGTGCTGTCTTTTGTGGACCTAGAGTTTCGACATCTTCCTATTTACTTTGGAAAGAAAGCTCTGGTCTGCAGGACAGGGCTACCGTCTGATCTGGAATAAAAACAAGAGAACAGTCCTCCTCCGGTGCGGTGTGTTATTTGCAGTGATTAAGTCACTGAAATCAATGCCGGGAAAATAACACCCAAGAGCATATTCAACCGATGTGATTTTTTTTTTTTAAGGAAACCACCAATAACCCGGCATGATCCTATCTCTCAGAAACTGATTACAGCAAGAATCTGAGGTCATTCAGACTTATAAGCCAGGGTATTCATGCTTAGTCCTAGTAAGAGATCCCAACCCCCACCTTTCCCTAACACAGTGCACTAGTTCCTGCACTACCCCTTTCCACGCATTGTCTCCATAAACTTGCGAGACTACAATTCTCCTCATCTACAAGAAAGATAAGGATGCTCCGTTCTTAGAAGGAGCCAAGGACCTGTGGGGGAGGGGGTGGCGGGTGGGGGATCTTAGCGGAGGAGGGAAGAACTTTCAAACTCATCCATTTGCTTGGACACATATACAAAAGGACTAAGTTTTAAAAGGTGGTTTCTTCTTTCTCTTCCCCAAACATTTAAGTATTACCCAATTTACAAAAAAAAAAAAAAAAAAAAGTATGCATTTATTGACCCAGTCACAAAGCAGTACTATTGCAAAGGTGCTGGTTTCTACACCAGGACGGAAGAATGCAGCTACTTCCTGCCTGGAAATACAGCTTCCCCCGGATTTGGTCTTTACCAAGCTCTCTGCATTTTGCCAATATTCAGGTGTGGGTGGAATCTGGGATTACAGAATTTGATTCTGATGTGGTTTCTCTCTCCCCCCTCCCCCTTAGAGAAATGCCGCTCCACTGCCACTCATTCTAATCTTCAGATCCTCCGCAACCTCATTAGAGTTGGACCGCAAAAGCCAGCCGCAACCGCTTTCCCCCAAATGCTGCTCCTCCTTAAGGCGCGCGCGAGGGGTGGGGTGGGGAGGGTGGGGGTCCGTACGCGCAATCAGGCACCGGCAACTCTTGCAATGCAACAGGCGTCCCCTCCCCGGGGGGGGGGGGGGGAAAGGATGCAAACACACCCCGAAGCTATTTGCAGCCGAATAATCTTTCAAGACTTTCTGCAGGAGCAGCACTGTTCGCTCTTGTCACTGCGAGACGACCAAAGGCAAGGCACTGCATCTGCCCCGAACACAAACCCGTGGGGGGTATAAGCTGGCTTCCCCGCCCGACCTCACCTGCATGCCCACCCCGTCCCCGTCTCCTGGGCTCCAAGCTACGGTTGCCTGGGGAAGGTCTGAGACTTACCGAGAAAGGGCTCAAGCCGGAGGAGGCTCCTGCACGCGGTTACACGTGAGCCTGCTCAGCTCTCCCCTCCCACCGGGAAGAGTGCACCGGGGAAGTGTCAGCGCTGGAGGCGTGCACCGCTTCCCGCCGACAGACCACTCCCCCCCACCCCCACCCCCACCGGGCTGTGGGAATTGCCCTGCTGCGGGAGAAAACGCCTCTCCGCTCCCGCCGCGGGAGTCCACAGCGCCCAACAGCAAGGAAAGCAGAAACGCAGTCCGAATACCCCGGCTGCCGAGCGAGACACCCCCCCCACACACACACGCGCGCGCACACACGCCCGGGTTCTAGCCAGCCACCTCCCCCATTCCTCCCCTCCGGTCCCAGAGACCCGGGTCTCCCCGAGGAGGCTCACGCGCCGTCCCGCGGGGCGGGGATCCTGACCCCTCAAGTTCACCTGTCACCCGCGCTGCAGGAGGACAGACCTAGAGGGCGGGCGAGCCGGGTCCCCGGCGCTCTTTGAAACGTCGCCCCGAAGTGATCCCCTCGGCTCTGAGCGCGGGGTGGGGGGTGGGAGAGTGAGCGAGCCTCCCCGAGAGGGACAGAGATGCCCCGCGCCGAGCCAGGCGTGGGGTCCCCGCGACTGTCGCCCCTTCCCCGAGCCCAGGCAACGCTCACCGTCTTCGGCATGAAGGGGGAGCTTCAGCGGGTTCTCCAGCAGGGACCTGAGCACGCCGTAGGGAGGCGGGATAAAGGTGGGGTTCAGGGGGAGCTGTCGGGACATTTTCTCCATCGTGGTGCACGCAACTGTCTTTTTAAAAAGAAGGCCAGGTCGCCGTCCCGAAACGTCGATGAGCTTTTTTTCCCCTCCTCCGTCCTTTGCCAACCAAAAAGTACTCGCTCTCAAAGCAGAGCAGATAAGGAAGAAGAAGAAGAAGAAGAAGAAGGGAAAAAAAAAAAAATCACTCCTGCCTTTGTAAATATATCAACATACAAATATCAAAATAACAAAAAACAAAAACAAAAAACTTTCGGGTTTCTCAGTGCTGATGGTCCCGGGAAAGCGCACGGAGCGCCGCGGGCTCCTCCGGCCCTGGGGCAGGATGCTCTCACCTGCCTCCCACCGACTCAGTCTTGCAAAATGTTCAAAATTGCAAGGGTTAAAAAAAAAAAAGAAGAAAAAAAAGAAAGAAAGAAAAAGAAAAAGGGGAATATGCGGACGGCTGCAGAGGAGCAGAAGGCAGAGCGCGGGCCCCGGACCCTCAGCGCCAGCACCGGAGGCTGCGCCGTCCCGCCCCACCCCCCTCCCCGCCGCGGCCGCTGCTCCCCGCGCTCAGCGGCCCCGCAGCGCCCGGCTCAGCGCATCAGGCAGTCCATGTGCCGCGGCCCTGACAAGAGTGACGTCAGGGCCCGCACCGCGCGCCGATAGGCGTGCGGGGGCGGGGCCCCCGCCAGCCCCGCCCTCCGGCCCCGCCCTCCGAGGGCCGCGAGTGTAGCATCGCCGCACGCTCTGATTTTTCGGGAGCTGGCTGCGGACTGTGGGTTGCTGGAAGCGCGGGTGCCCGATCTCCCGGTTCCGTGGTGGCTGCCTTGCCCTCGGAATAACCCCGCTCACCCCGGTCCCGATCCGTTTGCGAGCTAGCTGTTTGGGTTTGGTGTGTGTGTGTGTGTGTGT